GTAGAAGACCGCCTTTACAACCCGCTATAGACAGTTCGAGTATATAGTTATACCTTTTAGTCTTTGTAACGCTCCTAGAACTTTCTAGTCCTATATTAACGACTCCTTGCGTGAATTCTTAGACGACTTCGTATCTGCTTATCTCGATAACCTGCTTATCTTTAGCGACACGTATAAGGAACATATAGAACATGTTTAGAAAGTTCTAGAAAAGCTTAGTGCCGCCGGCTTGCAACTCGACATTAATAAGTACGAATTCTACGTCTATAAGACTAAGTACCTAGGACTAATTATCGGTGCTAACGGTATCAAGATAGACAAAGAAAAGGTAACTGCCGTATAAGACTAGTAAGAACCTCGCAACGTTAAGGATATTTAGTCCTTCCTAGGATTCGCTAACTTCTATAGGAGATTTATTCGAAACTTCTTAAAGATCGTAGCGCCCCTAGTAAGACTTACTCGTACTAAAGACCTATCCGTTACTTAGGAATAGAATGATGTATGTAGAGAGGCCTTTAAAGGGCTTAAGAAAGCGTTTATAGAGGCACCGACATTAGTACACTTCAATCTAGGAAAGGAGACTATTCTTAAGACCGATGCATCGGACTATGTTACGGTAGCCGTACTCTTATAACGAGGAGATAACGGCCTGCTTAGGCCTATAGCATTCCTTTTATATAAGATGTCTCCGGCCGAGTGTAATTACGACATCTACAATAAGGAACTAATAGCTATTATAAGAGCATTCGAGGAGTAGAGACCCGAGCTAATAGCTAGCGAATATAATAATGATTTAGAAGAAGACAAACCGACATTAGTCTACTCCGATTATAAGAACCTTAAGTACTTTATAACTACTAAGGAACTGAATAGGCGTTAAGCCCGCTAGGCAGAATTCCTCTCGCAATTCAATTTTAAGGTAATCTACCGACTAGGCGTATAAGGGACTAAGCCCGATGCACTTACTCGACGCTCGCAAGACCTCCCGTAAGGAAATAACGATCCGCGAGTACTAGCACAACGATAGACTATCCTTAGTCCCGATAAGATCCTATATATGTCCTCTAGCATTATTACGAACACCGAAGAACTAGTCGAAGATTAGAGAACACTAGAAGATAATATTCGAGCGCTTTACGCTAAAGACCTAGAAGTACTCGAAGCGGTAACCTAATTGTCTTTATCTAAGCTATGTCCGTACCTCCGAAGACATAAGATTAGACTCTAAGATGCTACCGAGGTAGGAGGCTTGATATACGTTAAGAATCGCTACAATAAGTACTGCTTGTTCCTTCTAGCTAGCGAGGAGAATAAGGTCCGTACTCGAGTTATCTAGATAGTATATAAAGCACCCTCTATAGGACATCCTAGGCGTGCGAAGACACTTAACCTGTTAATAAGAGACTATATCTAGCTAGGAATGTCTAGTTCCGTTCGGAGATTCCTCCGTAACTGTTATATATATCGACGAGCTAAACCCGACACTATATAGTACTATAGACTCCTTTAACCTATGCTAATTCCTTTTAAATTGTAGGATAATGTTGCTATAGACTTTGTAGTAGAACTACTACCGTTATAGAGCAGGCTCGACAAGCAAACGTATAAGAATATACTAATAGTAACGAATCGACTAGGAAAACGGAAGTACGTAATACCGGTATTATCGATAGAAGCTAAATATATTGCGTACGTCTACTTGCGGTATATTTACTGCTATTATAGACTGCTATTGTTAATCACTTCCGATCGAGGTTCTTAGTAGATTTCGGCATTCTAGAGAAGACTCTACTAACTTCTAGGCATCGAGAGAACTATGTCCTTAGCCTTCTACCCGGAAACTAATAGACAGAGCGAAAACACTAATAAGTTAGTAGAACAGTACTTAAGAGCGTATGTGAACTATATGTAGGATAACTAGGTTAACTAGGTCCCTATAGCTGAGTTTGCACTTAACGACTATGTCTCGGAAACAATAGGAGTCTCTCCGTTCTATATAGAGACCGGACGCAACCTAAGATCGACTACTGCTAATTTTACGAAACCTATGCGGCTTATGCCTGCTAAGCAACGCATTAACGCACTCAAAGCTAATAAATTCGCTAAGCAAATAGAATCCCTTAAGGAGTAGGTCCGCGAGAATATATAACTCGCGCAAGCTACGTATACCGATAATACGAACGCGCATTAGCAACCTATACTAGAATACTACGTCGGCGACAAAGTGTTTATTAATACTAAGAACTAGAAGATAGAGCGACTAGCGAAGAAGCTCGATAACAAATAGGCCGGCCTATATGCAATCTTAGAGGTCTTGCTAGCTAATACTTACAGACTCGACTTTAGCGAGAGCGCCTATATTAGTCTCGCGAATGCCTTCTATTCCGACCTCCTTCGCCCGGCCGCGACTAATCCTATACCTAACTAGAATGCGCCTCTACTGCCGCTAATTATTGTTACCCGCGACGATAAAGAAGAGGAACACTTTAAAGTAGAAGAAATTATAGATAGCGAGATACGCTTACCGCGTAGAAGAGCACCGAGGGGTAGTAAGAAAGAGCGACTTTAGTACAAAGTAAAGTAGGTTAGATATAGTTATAATAAGGCAACTTAGGCGCCCGCTAGCGATATTCTAGGCACTACCGCCGCCTCTATCGCAGACTTCTACTACAACAACCCTACGAAGTATAAACCGGTCGGCTTCCTTCCTCCTAGGGGTTAGATCCCGAATAAGAACGCGCGTAGATTGCAGCTACTAAGACTAGGGCTAGAGCAACTACAGCAGGCCGAAGTGATTTTAATATTATCTTCTACTTAGCCTATTGCTACGACGCCGCAGCGAAGCACTCGCCTTAAAGGGCTAATAGCAAGCTCTACGACAGCCCTCGTAACTATTCCGCTACTGCTAGTAACTACGGATAGTAAAAGTATAGGGCCTATAGCTCTACTCGTAGAGGCTTAGAGTTAAGTAATAGCACCTTAGGAAAAAAGAACCTTAGCTTAGGCGCTAGCTTCTAAACAGGTAACCGTTAATAGAAGCGCTAATAACGATAAGCGTTATTGCACCGGCCGTTCCGATAACGGTAACACTACTACTAAAGTCAATAATAAAGCTAATGCGGCTAAGACTAATACTAATAGTTCCTAGGTGCCGCGGAGCGCTAATCTCGCTAGTCCTATAGCGGTATAGCGACTAAAAGAAGGATTATAGAAGGATAAATAGACATAGAAGACGCAAGGACATTGTCTACGGAGCGACGATTTAAAGGGGGGGGTAGTGTTACAGGCTAAGACTATTTACATGCCTAAGACACATAAAAGCCGGCTCGGGCCGTCCCGCCGAGCCGCGGCAAACCTCCGATATATTTAGTCGCGCCCTCTCTCGCGCTCTTCTTAGATTCTACGTCGACGTCTTAAATATTAACGTCTCTAATATTATTCGCCTGTTATACCCGCATAGACTATATAATACCCTTTGTTACTAGTCTAATCCGTTTCTATCGGGATTTAGTAAGCGTATATAGATAAAGCGCCTCGAATTTTTTTTCGAAGAAAGAATACGTAATATCTAGACCGAAATTCGAAAATCCGCTATAGTAGCGACCTAGATAAATACTTTATATATACTAATTACTATTTTTTATTCCTTAAACGATAGCCCTAGTTTAGGAAAATTAAGTATAATCTAAAAACCGAATACGCTCGGCTATATAGAAGGCTACTCTATACTACGACGATAAGGATACGTACTATTTAGACTATAATTCGAAAAGTACTACTAGGCGGGCCTAGATAATTACATACACACACACACACACACATATACTAAAATACTACCTACCTATACACCCTCAAATAATCCTATCTCTAGTCTAGTCTCGAGATAGGTGCTAGAGGCAGGTAAGGAAGAAGGTGCCCTTCGAAGAGGAAAAGCCTCATACCGTAAGCTGCTTACGCCTCCTTGTTATAGATGCTGGTCGTTTGTCCGAGATAGGTATCTGCTAGTTGTGCACTGGACGAACTATGCGGCTTAGTAGCTGGGAATTTGTTGGTATCAAGAGTCCTAGAAGAATGGGTGGCGCGACTCGCGAGGTCAAAAATCGCTGCCAAAAATGAGGCCGGTTGGTACGCGGAATCATGCTTCTGACTTGTAGGCGTCGGAGATGGGTCGTGTAGTAGTCACGCCACGCCCGCTGTCGTTTTTATCCGCGACAAGACAAGCAACGGCAGTCTTGTGTATGGGCGGACCTTCAGCAGAGAGCCAAGGTAGTATTGTTTGATTTTTACTTCCAACCAGGAGTGACATTGCAAATGCTGAGATGGCTGGGACATCCTCGTCTTTTGCACTAGAGATATGGCCAAAGGAAAAGTTATGGACACAGCCCTCGTTCTGCAAGTAGTCGTCGCGTCTCGTCGAGGCCTCGTCGGGAAGAGGGCATCCAAAAGCCAAAGGGCAAAAGACTCTCTCGATCTACGCAGCATCACTGTCTCGAATTGATGTAGACTCGCGATATAGAGCAACCCCCGGCATAAGACAGTCTTGTATGTCGTACTGATGTGCGACAGAGGAGTGCTATATCCATGAACAGGATAGCACGGGTTCCTGCAGGTATAACTGAAACTCGAAGTGAAAAGCAAGAATATCGACGGATGCGTGTATGAAGGTGCCTATTAATAGCGCCTATTGATCGCGATCTTACATATCGGTGCATGCATTCCCCGCCATTGGGATCCTCGCCACTTCCCCGAGCCCCAGCTACCCGCCCGAGCCCCAGTAGATATACCAATATAGAATCGGCCTGAATGAGATTACGTGCTGTTTCCACCTATTACATATTATATCCATTCTTAGTTGGTGGCGCGGAGCGCGTTACCTAGGAAGTCGCGCCTACACTACCAGTACTAGCAGCAACAACAACAACAATAGTCGCTTATACAGCCAACAGGACGGCTACTTTACTACTAGGTGCTGCAACAACAGCACCATTAGTTCACTTAGCAGCAGTATTATATGCAGCAGCAGGCTAGTTAGCAAATAAGGGACCAATATAAGCTAGTATATATAGCATCACGTAGTTACAAGGCTGCAGGTCGTAATCCGCTTAGACCTGAGTAGATAGCAACCAACAATACCTTTAAATTTGCTATACCACTGATTTGCTAACAAACTTTGGCTTTATGGCTAGCAGCAGTATAGAAGTGGTTGCCCGGTCGGTGGTGGTTGCGGGGATCCGGAAATCGCTTCCCCACGCGATTTTGTTAGGAACAGCGGATTCCATAATCCACTGTATTGCTGGGGCTCGGGCGGGTAGCTGGGGCTCGGGGAAGTGGCGAGGCATTGGGATTGGCCAACGCTGGCAGAATGTACCTATGCTTGCATAGAATAGCATTCACCGCACCGCCCGTTCCTGAGACAATTTTGGAGTCCGACCTAATTCGAGATGAGGAGCTGTAGGTTTTCCAACAACGGGTGCGCCCATGTGTCTCCGGCGCGCTGAAACTCTGTCGCTGCGATGGTCTGCAGTCTTGGAAATCGGTTCGACAGGACTTGACGGTGTTCGCTCGTGCAGTATGCGGTTACAGACACATGCTTTGCCATAAGGTGGTTTCATTGTTGTACGTTGACAATAGCAGGCACCTGAGCTTGTATTGATTAGCCAGTGTCCAGACATGATTTTGCTGAAAATGGCTCCATTCGGCAACGCAAGCTGAGATGATGACGCTGCCTGTCCTTCTCCGGACACGGATGAGGCGGTGCCCGTGTGTAGCGTGTGAGGCTTTGGAGTAGCCGTCATGAGCAAGCGATTCTTGTCGGTATGTGTCTGCGAAGCAATTTGCTCGTGCTGGGCATGAATACTGGTCGAATGGACACTTCATTCGTTGATTCGATCCGTGCCTCGCGCGCGACAGCGCTCGCGTATCTGCCGGGCTCCTTTTGATCGTTTTGCGAGTCAGGTGGCCAGTGCAGGTGTGAAAGGATCTCATCGAGTCTTTTATTAACGCGTCAGTGCCGCTGGATGCCCAGGCACAAGCCCGTGGACGACAGATAACAAGTGTTGGTATATCGTTCCGCCTCGTCCCAAGGTCGGGAAAGATGCTGGTCGACGACATGCTGGTGCCGGTCGCACATGGGATCGTTGCGAGGCCCAAATAGCGTAATTCGCAAGGATCATCTCAGATGCTCTGCTGAATCATCACATGGCAGTGGCAGTCCGAGGCTAAGCATCCTTGTCCCGCCTGTTGTGTTGGTTCCGCCCCGCCAGTGACTGATCTTGGCCAGTTCCGAGTGCTTGGAAAGGAAGACCGCGTACTGTCCGCGTAGATAGTATGAGCACACGCCGGCTAAGCCTGGCCTCAGAGCAGTAGCAAGCTATTGTTGCTATGAAATCTGCATTCGGCCGCCTGTACTCAACCTTCTTCTGCCGCGATCGCAGTCCCTATCGCCGTTGTAGGATGTGTGATTCCTTTGGCATACCGCGAAGGCTGCTCCAAACCGACGTGTGGATCCCGAGCAATAGTACTGTTGCATACAGCGTCCCACAGCGCAAATGCCCGGCTATCGACCAGCCGCGCTGGGTATAAGTATTTAGCGAGCATTTCCCTGAGCACTGACCAATCCTCGATGTACTGCTCTAACTGCAGTCTCTTCAGAATGCGCATATGCTGGCTCTCGCAATGACCGGTGGTGAAGCATATGGTCAAAAGCGCCCAGAAACCGACTTCCTCATAGACTGTCCCAACAAGTGCATCCGACTGCAGCTGCAGCGCTTCGTCATAGACATCCTGCGATACATCACGTCCAACTGATCCCATGGCTAGACGGAGAAATGCACAGAGGGCAAGCGCCGCGAGTCGGATATGTGAACATGCTTGGCGCACGAGAAAGTCTTCCTTGATCGTTCTTGTCGCGCAGTAAGAGGCCGCTAAGATGCTGTCGAGGTTCCAGTCGACGAGTTCTTGCTGGGTCTCGTCAACTCGTGGTATAAAAGCAGGATCGTGAAGGGTGACCGTCGATAATCTGCTCACTATGTGCATGAGACCCGGTAGGACCAGTCTCTGTGCTCTAAGCTCCTCGAATCCAGTGGGCAGTGTGCTGGGTAGCGTAGTGGCTTCTGGCGCGGCCTGCGCTCCCGGTCTCACAAAGACTGGCCTCTTCGATGCAAATAATGCCAGGTCATGACCGGCGCCCAAGACAATATTCTTGAAGGCCGACGGCAGAGTGGATTGATCTCCGACACCTCCTCGCATATTATTGACGATGGCATTCAATCCGCCCATGTGAGTGTCGTACGTGGTCACGCTACTGTATTCCTGCACAATAGTGTCAGCATGTGTCGTAGTTTTGACTTCTGGTGTGGCTTAAGCCACACTCACAAGCTCCCAGGCGCCCACTAACGCAATGCTCGCAATAACGGCGTCCCCGATTCCACGGATCGCGTTTGCCCGAGCGACGGCGTCGTTGATGCTTTCGAGCGCCGTGTGCTTCAGCTGGCACAGGAGTGGTATGGGGATAGACTGCGCCCTAGCCGCGATGGCATGACTAGCTGAAACAAGCATTATAGCGTTGAAGAGGCACGTGTCTGCCAGTGCCGTAGACCATAGCTCCGCTCGCATAGCTGCACGACCATGCGGTTCAAGCCCAGTGACGTTTTCTGGTAGGAAGTACCTTTCGAAGTATTCGACAATGTGTGGGATCTTGGAGTGCCATTTCGTGATGGGATATGGCCGGTATGCTGCGTGGATGTCGCCTGTGCTCAATGAAGTGTTCAACGGCCGAGACGGACTCCGGGACCTTGGCGGATTGGGCGTATCGCTTTCTGCTCCAGAAGTTGACGATGTCGTTCGTCCACGATCGCTGCCATCTGCTGTCGACGAAGAACCGCCATCATCCGGTTTCGCTGCTGGACTTCTTTTCTCGGCCAACTTCCGAGCGATGGTGCGTTTTCTCGCAGCAGCGCTGGCTTTGGCAGCTTGCACACGAACGGCGCGCCTGATCTCGCTGCTGACGCCTGATGAAGTGCCGGCTTCGAAGGGCACAAAGGCGACAGTTGTCGGTCCACGAGGTATCGGGTCGTCTCGCTCCACACCAGGCGAAGGCAGCGGACTATTCGATACGGACCTCGACGTCGCCTCTCGTCGATCCCGTGGACGCTGCATAGAGCGCTTGCGATGTAGATGTGTCCTGGTGGTCGTAGAGGGAGCTTAGAATGGTCCTCGCCGACTTTCGGACAAGCAACAAGAGGCTGCGCAAACATATGGTGAATGCGCGAGCGACTGCAAGGCTGCTAATAACTTATGCTTTCGATCTGCCCACCAGATGCATACTCTAGGATTTGCTGCACAGATACATCGCGGGAGCCAGTTCTTCGGGTCGACCCAGCAGCTGGAACGTCGCGTGTTGCCCTTCAATGGCCCTGGACGTACGGCCATAGGCTCGCAAAGCGGCAGAAGCCACGGCATGCTGGGGGATGTTAGATGCATAATAATAAGGGTCGGTCGGACCTGGAAGCTCTCAGCTGAGATACCGATGTACTGTAGTTCTAGCCGTTGGTCGGACGAGGCTTGGTTTGCAGCCAGCCACAAGACTGTCTAAGACGCCACGGGCCGTCACATGTTTCGAGGTCTGCTCAGCCCATGCCCCACAGAAGGCCGAGAGAAGCCCGGCAGCATGTGCTTCGAGTGTGTATTCAATCTTGCCTGTAGCTTGCCGTTGAGACTCGAGACCATGCGAGACAGGCCGGATCTTCGCCCGCCAAGGCAGTGCCTCCAAAATGGGAAAATGGACGTTCGCTATGATGCAGAGGCCTGGCCCGGCTGCGCAGAGCCGGACGAGTCAGAGTGCGTCTACTTCGAGGTCGGTGCGTCGGTGGATAAGTCGTACTAAATAATCGTCCACCGATGCAGCTTTTTCGTATTAACCTGCTTTTAAGGTAGACAAATCGGTGGTTCTCGAAGACCGTGTACTGCTAGTCGCTAAGGCGGTAATTTAATCGCGTCTACGTCGCGTACTCCTATATATATCTTCCTATTAGTATAGTATTACTAAACTATAGCTCTAAAGAAGGCTATAACGACGACGACGACGCCTATAGAGCGCAAGGCTACCGCTAAGAAGATACTAGCTAAGAAGAGGTCTATAGTAGCTACTAATAAGCCTACTAGTACCGACTTTCTAAAGATTATAAGATAGAAGCTCGAGTATTAGGAATACTTCCTAAAGGAGATAAAGAAGCTAAAGAATAAAGGCTTAATAAACTATAGTAATAGCTTCTATATTAAATACTGTTATCGGATCGCTACGTAGACAAGTATATAAACTCTATAGTAGTTCGATTTACGAACTATAAAACGTATATAGTTTAGTTTCGTAGTAGTAAACTAGCTCCCTAGTTCCGGTTTAGTTTTTTTAAACTATATAGATTCCTAGATAGACCTAGAGACTATATTAGTTCTACTATAGATATACTCTTATTCGACTATCGGCTACGATATCCGGCTATACTAGAGACTATATTAGTTTTAACTATTCTATAGGCGAGTTTTAGTATTAATCTCTAATAGAACATTTCCTAGGGCTATAGGAAGATATCGGTTATTCCTATCGATCTTATATATCTTAACGTCTTCGGATAGTAGGTAGGTCCGGAATACGGACTATTATAGTCGGTAGGAATAGCTACTAATAAAATACTAATTAAAGTTTTATTAAACTAAAACTAGCAATCGAACTACTAATCAAACAACTAACTAAATAGTTAATAAAACTATTAATTAAATTGCTAATAAAACTACTAATTCAAATAGTAGGAGAATACGGAATATAGACTATTATAGTCGGTAGGAATATTAAGAGTATTATATATATCTCTAATAAGAGCTTAGAGCAAAGTAGCTTAGCTAGATTTAATAAGGTAGGACTCGGAATCTCCTAGCCTAGGATTGCTATAGATAGTTATTCGACTGCCGGCTACTATTGCCGGCTATAATAGTAACTAGGTTATATTTACCCTACTCGCGGTTGCCTTAAAAATAGCTATTTACGTTACTAGGTCGTATTTACTATTACCGGGGCGTAGTTGCCGTAGTTATAAGAGTTTACCTATATAACGTTATATAGGCGGCAATAATTAGGGCTTCGCGATATTCTTATACCTTTTAACTTCTTCTTCCTCTATATCTATACCTATAAAAACTACTATACGCTACGCTCCCCCTCTTCCTTAAAATAGTAAGAAAGAAGCGCGCCGCGCGCTATATAGAAGATAGAACTAGAGACCGCGAATTTGTTCTACCTAGGTCTCTAAGAAAAAAGCGTAAAACTAAAGAGAAGTACTCTATAAAGAAGAATTCCGTACGAGACCGCGAGAGAAAGGAGAAAATAGATAAAAGATAAAAGATCGAAGAATAAAAGAAGGAACGCGCGAAATAAGGCATTCTATTAATAGCTAGTACCTATAGAAAAAAGTAAAGGTTAGAATAAGAAAACAACCTAAAGAAGGCTTAGAGGAGGAAGGAATTACGTCTAGTTTTCGAGCGTAAGTTAATATAGCCGATAGCCGTAGCCGGTAGCTATAGCCGGTAGCTATATCCGGTAGCTATAGCCGCTATCTTTCTCTTTAATACGTGAACTAATAGCATTTAGACCTATTACCGCTACCTCTATCGAGACGACCGATAGTAACGTAGATATTTAGATAGCTAAGAACAAAAATACTAGAGTTTAGGATACCGCGAAAGAGCTTAATACTACGAATAAAGGGACTAAAAAAAGTAAGGAGATACTATACTTCGATCTAGTAATAGGTACAATCTTAGGGACTAACGCTATAGACGATAAGCGCTAGGAGTAGATCGAGTATAGTTAAAGAGACGAGGTACTAGTAAAGGGCTAAGGTATAAGCCCTCTTAATCTAGAAAATTATCGTTAAAGCTACTATAAAAAGCTAGTAAGGATTAGAATCGAGACTAGTCGTCTTTATATCCTTAATATAGAGTAGAAATTTCTTTATTAGTATTAGAGCGATGCCTTTACGTCTATAAAGGCAAAGTAGGTTGCGATTAATAGAATAGGGACTAGGTATCTAGGGATAGGGGAGGAGTTACTAAAAGAGAAAGGGGTATAGGTAATTATTCTATACTCGGTATATATAGCCGGCGTTCGTAGCCGGTAGATACTAATAGTTAAATAAAAAGCGTTTCTCGAGGGCAGAGTACTA